AGTTGAAATAAGGAATACTGCTTCTTTTCGTGCATTGCCAAGGAGATAGGAGGAGTGGGATTAGCATTCTGCCTCCTATCCCTGTCAAGAGACATATACTGGAGGAAAACTAGAATTGGACTCGTACCTGACAACCATGCACACTTTCTTAAATGCTGCCTCTTTTGTTTAGAGCAATAATTCTAAAGCTCAACTTTGGGGAGTTAAGAACCCTCCAACTACTCACAAGGATCCCTTGTGTTCTGATTAGTGCTGGAGAAAGGCCCGAGTACCTGCTAGATTTATTCAGTTTCCTTGCAAATGTCACTTTTTTGTTTTAGAATTCTACAGTAGTTGACTTGCTTTTCACCATCCAAGCGGTGATGATGCACAAGGTCTTGTAAATACCGTGCTGAAGTCGCTGCTGCATTTCGCTTAGAGCTCAGAGACTTTTTCTATTGGCACTATTGATTTTGTGAACTTCATGTTGTTTAGTACCATATGAAACATCAACATTTCAGAAACAATGCAAGGTTCCTCTTCTTTTAGTTTTTAGGATATTTTTTCCCCCTTTTAAGGCCCACATGCTTGTGGAATACAATGTTTTGCTAATTCCCCTTTATCCCACTTTGACTATCTCAGTGTACCGGAGAGGAAAGTTCTTTAGTCGTCTTCCGACATTCTACGTCTTTCTGTTTTATACTCCACGATTGTTGGCTCTTCTTGTGGATGCTACTCCTCCAGGCAGTTTCAGAGACTTAAAAACCCCTAAAAAGATCAAAACTTTCCTTTAAAGGAACTTGTACAAACCTCTCTTTGATGCACTGCAGATCTTGGATTAAAATCAATGCAACAGCAACAACAGAAGAAAACAATTATCAATATTGTGTACAGTCTCTAAATTTCTAAAACAAAGCTTTCTTTCAAGTCTTCCGCTTGCTAAAAGCCAATGGGAGGGCTTTGACCCGATTCTCCAGAGAGATTGCTTTAGAAAATGTTTTTTTCTTTCATTCTTTCTTGTCAGGTTTTTATGTCATGCCATCTTAGACAGACTCAGACTTTTAAAAAAAAAAAACACACCCTAAAAATGAAGCTGAGGATACAAGGGAGAGGAGGTTTATAAAAGAGATACTAGGGCCTAGCTTATGCCAGTAGAAGATTGTACAATAAGAGTTCCTGAGCAATAATTGTGTTTTATTTAAAACACACTCTTCCTGCACCACCAAACCCTGTCTCAGTGTGAGTGCAATAGCAGGCGGGATTGCCAATGCCCTCCCCCAACGCCTGTCCCCATTATTATTTTTTAGGCAAGCGTGTAAAGCTGAATTTGCACAGGTTAAATGCACAGAAGTTGTGAGTCCCCTGTATAGCGAAGATGAATACTATGTAATAAAAGCATAGGTATATGCCCTGCAAAAGTGAGTTCAGGTTTGGCTGTAACTAAGCCAACCAAGGCTTAGGTCACGGCATCATGGCAGCAGGAGAACCAGAGGAGAAACCAAGAGGTCACAATCTTCTCACCAGGAGCCCACACATTTGCACTAGTTCATGGTTTGGTTTAGCATTACATGTGAACTGGGCCTTGGTCTCTCACATTCTGTCAGCTCTTTTCCTCGCTGTAAACAGTTTGCCTAATGTAGCTTCATCTTTACCCAATAGGCCAGAAACAATGAACTGATACAGACTTAAATCATGCTTACATTAGACTCACTGATTCCTATGGTTCCACTATCATCATGACTAAAGCTGGATCTGGATCCAAACCAATAATTAAACAGTTGGGTGCACTGGAGTAACTTAACCCCTCACCTATTCCCTTTTCTCCTTCTCCATCCAATTTCAGTTTGGGCTTGGGAGACATGTTTGTTTATAAATTTACACCTCAGCTTTCTGCAAAAGTCCATCAGGCAGTTTACACAAAATGGACGACACAAAATTAAGTAGCCTAAAAACAAAACACAGAGCAAAGCAAACTTAGCAAGCAAAATCAACATCAGTTAAACACAAACAAGCTGCAGTTTTAAAAGTAGATCACTCCGCAGAGGGCTGAGAACAAAGAGCAGTCCTTCCCTTCCACTCACTCCAGTTTCTTTTGCCAGCCTTAATCACCCCTTGCTCCGAAGATCATGCTACTCCAGAAATTCTTATTGTCAGATGCCTTGACAAATGGCTACATAATACAATGTGTCCACAGGTGATGTGCCCAGCTCTGTCCTAACGCAATAAACATCTTGGCAGACTTGAAGAGGTGGCCTTAATCCCATCTGTTAGTTTGTTTGGAGCTGGAACATATGTAATGGAAAATAACAAAATATAACCCCTTACAGAAAGCGCAAAACTTTGTGTTTCCAGTTCTGTGTATTTATGGCAGAATAAATGCATTGGGTAGACTGCACATGCATCCTTTTTCTCTAGACAGAATCTCCGTCATATATTATGTGACCTTAGAGACATTCCAACAAATTATCTTTTCTGTATGTTACCTGCTACATGTTTTATGGTGTGAGCCTTAGAATTTCCTTTGCCTTGACTGTAGAGTGAAAATTCATTCTTACAAGCACACAAACTGATAGGGGACGTAGAACTGAATGGGTGGACATTTTGCGAATCTTTTTGCCACCGTGCATCTCCTTTTCACAACACTTGGTGCCAGAACAGCAGTTGCAGTAGAATAACTACAGCCATTGGAATTTCAGTTGGCCAGTTTTCCAAGTCTCCCCACTCCCAAGTTGTCTGGGCTTGTTATATTCAGTGACTGATTAGAATATTCTTAGTATATTTTTTGGAAGCTGTTGCATGCAAAAAGTTAACATTTCATCCATCAACCCCAGCTGCCAAAACTTATCTTAGCACTCCCATTTCTCCCCTCTCAATTTGCAGCTGAAAAGCAGGCTTGTTGTGTGCTTAGCTTTTCCACCGCATACTCGTCACCACCGTTCTTTTCTGGATCATAGTTGAAGTGTTATGGAAAAAAATGGCTGGGAACAGAGGAAGGGGAATCAAGCTTTTAGCAGCACATCCTTTACCTTTTGCTTCTTCACTGGAAATCCAGGGAGAGCAGTGGTGGCACTGTTTCGCACCAGTGGCAGGAACTCCAGAATACATGTGTGGCGATCACACAGGGTCCTCGGACGTTTAACGGTCTATTGATCCCTGTGCCACCACTGTGCTCGCTTCCCCGCTGCCACCAACCCGTTACTCTCGGGTAAAACACTGAGTCCAGACATTTGTTTAAATTGAACCAAATAAACAAGTTTATTTTATAATCATTAACAAGTTTATGGTTTCTCAGATAATATTCCTGTCAGTTTCTTAACTTTAGTTTCTTTACTGGTCTATACCTTCCTAATACCTTCTGACTGATTATCTCAACTATTTGACTGACTCCTCTTAAAAATTCTCTCATTCTCTCACATCAGACTAGCCCAACCCACAGACTTATCCTCTCTGTCTCTTCTCTAACTCCAGACTGACTTCTCAAACACCCTAACTCTAACTCTAACTCCTCCCCTTGGGTTCCCATTGGTTAGTCATTTTACAATTAGTTAACCCTTTCCTTATGAACCCAGTATGATGTCACACACCTAGGAAGGCAAACGCCACAACACGTCTTCCAAATTTGTACCTCTAATCATTGTCACTGAAATTTCCAAGCTTTATACTTAACGTTTCTGATGCGCCTTGCAGTACCCTATCCTCCGTGCCTTCTTTTGGCCAACCACAAAGATTGTTTAGTTAACTACTGCCAGATAGGAGTACAGAAGTAGTGGTGCAACGTACTTGTAAAGACACTTGCAATTTAACGCATTGCCCTAGAGCAGGGGTTGTCAGCATGGTGTCCTGCAAACCTTGTTGGACTCCAACTCCCATCAGCCCTAGCCAGCATGGTCAGTGGCCAGGGATGATGGGACTTGTCATCCAGCAGCATCTGGAAGCCCACAGCTCCCCAAGTCCTAGAGCAGGCATCCCCAAACTCGGCCCTCCAGATGTTTTGGGACTACAACTCCCATCATCCCTAGCTAACAGGACCAGTGGTCAGGGATGATGGGAATTGTAGTCCCAAAACATCTGGAGGGCCAAGTTTGGGGGTGCCTGCCGTAGAGACATGAACCTGACAAGAGGGTTACTGCACCACATAGTTATATCCTTTTGTTCACTTCCAGGTAGACCAATTCATTTCTCTGCTTTTGGTGTTTGCTGTTGAAAGTCCATTATTCCTTTTGTGTGTGTGTGTGTTCCCTTTATGATTTCTCCCATTGAAGAGATTGGTAGCCATGTGCCAAGAGCATTGTCCAGATCAGACAGACTATCCTGGGACCTGGAAATTTCTCACATAAAGACTCAATTGTTAGATTGAATAAATGGGCTGAATTGTTAACGATTTATAGACCCTTTATAAAGGGGAAGTAGATGCGTTGAAGTCAGAGCACCTGAATTGATCAATGCTCTCAGTGTTCTACCAGAAACACATCTAAAGAAAACAGTAATAAAATATGTAGTAGCTCCTTATGAAAAGCTTCTATTTAGAATGGTAGCTTTTGAATGTTCCTTACAAAGAACAGGCTTCATATTCCCCTAAGGAAGCTAATGCACTAGTTTATTAAAAAGGTTCATTTCTAATTACCCCAGAAACATATTAAGAATAGGACGAGGCTTCTTTTTTTCATTGGCAAGAAGTTAGCTAAACCTCCTTGGGCTTGTTTGTTAGGAAGTGGTTTGTGAAAGTTCAAAATTCACTTTTTCAAAATGGTGGAATCTAGTGATTGCCTGTTGGACTCCATTGTCATAGATGATAAAATGGCATCTTGGGACTTGTTGAGTGGAGAAACATAAGTTGATTTTCAAAGGTGGTTGGTGCACCTGAAACTGAAATGTCTGTTGCATGGAGTAGAAATGTAAAGGGCTTTCTGCCATATCTCCTTGCTCACATACCACTTGGAGGTGAAAGTGAGCAAGAAATTCTCCCCTCCAGGTACCCCTGTCAACCAGAACTCTTGTTGTTCATGTGAACATGTCAACCTGGATAGCTCAGTTGGTTAGAGTGTGGTGCTGAAATGCCAGTGTTGCAGGTTCAGTCCCTTCATGGAACAGCGGCCTATTCCTGCAATACAGGGGGTTGGACTAGATGATCCTCAATTTCCCTTCCAGCTCTATAATTATTTGATTCCATATCTTGGGATAGAAGGAGAATTGGGTCAACAATATTCATTTGATTTGCTTTGTTTAATTTATATGTTCAAGGGTCTATAGGCCCAAGTAAGCTGAATGTCTTAACTGAAGTGAACAAAACAAATAACGGGAATGTTGTCCTAGGGCATGGATAGGCAAACTAAGGCTCGGGCGCCGGATCCGGCCCAATCGCCTTCTAAATCCGGCCCGCAGACGGTCCGGGAATCAGCGTGTTTTTACTTGAGTAGAATGTGTCCTTTTATTTAAAATGCATCTCTGGGTTATTTGTGGGGCCTGCCTGGTGTTTTTACATGAGTAGAACATGTGCTTTTATTTAAAATGCATCTCTGGGTTATTTGTGGGGCATAGGAATTCGTTCATATTTTTTTTCTTCAAAATATAGTCCGGCCCCCCACAAGGTCTGAGGGACAGTGGACCGGCCCCCTGCTGAAAAAGTTTGCTGACCCCTGTGCTAGGGTTAAGTAGTTGTGGTAATAAGGCATAAGGCTAGGAACCTAAAAACACCTATATGAGAATTTCATTAAAATCAATGGGACCAACTTCCACATGTTTTAGGGCAGAACTTTAACTAATTCTTCTAACTAACTGATTTGTTTAAAGAAGTAATAAAAATTAAGTACTGTGCATTCAAATTAAATCTTGGGCTTACCATAGGTGGCTTACGCTTGCTGTTTTACACTTGTTAATAAAAAACCCGTTATAACTATGTTTCAGTATCCCAATAAAATAGGTTCATAAACCAATATTTAACCCACAGGAATGACTTAGTTTATTAGTTCATTGGTAGTAGGACAAGTGCCTGCTTCAATTTTTTGTATCCTCTTTTAAAAGTACTCACAGGATTTCACTGTTTTATTCCCCATTTGTCATTTAAACAATTGTTTGGGATTGTGCTGCTGCTGCTACTTCTCTTTGGTGGCGGCGGCTATGATTTCAGTTGTATGTGACCTTTTTCTAACATAAAAGCATATCATTGTGTATATGATAAGTTAGGTGCCTTCATAATTATATAGAAAGGCAGGATATAAATTTCAGAAATGAAGAAATTTGTCCTTGGTGTGGTTCCTGTCTGTAATGTATGCATATCTGAGAAACTGTCTTTGAGTTCATCACAAATCCACTCTCAATCCTTTGGCGAACTTGTGAGGAATAGATTTCAGGGTTGACACCTGTTGCTTCTTTCAAAGAATAGCTCCCTATTTTGTAGTCAACTTAGTCTGGCACACAATGCACTTCTTTACATGCTTACTTGAAAGGATGTCTCAGTGTGTTCATCATGAGATGATATACTTGCATGTGAGCATCCAGGATAGCATCTTGTATTAGGAACTGCTCTGTGTGAAATAAGGAACAGATTGCAAGCCTCCTTTGGTTCATCTAGAGCAGTGGTTCCCAATCTTCTTCTGGCCATGCCTCACCCAAACATCTCTAAAATCCTGATACCACCCCCTGTGACATATAATTCTTATTATTCAAAAAGTGAACTCCTATTCACGTGGAGGAAGCCTAAAAGGCCATAAATTGTTAATACAGTGGTACCTCAGGTTACATACGCTTCAGGTTACAGACTCTGCTAACCCAGAAATAGTGCTTCCAGTTAAGAACTTTGCTTCAGAATGAGAACAGAAATCGTGCTCTGGCAGCGCAGCAGCAGCAGGAGGCCCTATTAGCTAAAGTGGTCCCCATGTTGGGAACCATGGATCTAGACCAGGCATAGGCAAACTCTGGCCCTCAAGATGTTTGGGACTACAATTCCCATCATCCCTAGCTAACAGGACCAGTGGTCAGGGATGATGGGAATTGTAGTCTGAAACATCTGGAGGGCCGGAGTTTGCCTATGCCTGATCTAGAGTCATTATAGCCTAAGAACCAAAGGATGATATGGGGCAAAAAGTATGACTATACTACACTGTGTTACTTATGACCTCCTAGCAAGGGCAGCAGCTGCACAGGGCTGAGCTCTTTTGGCCCCTATATGTTTTTGAAGATGGGGCTGGGCCCCTCCAGTATCCAGAAAGGGCAGAGGCATCTTCTCCTTCTGCCGCAGATGGGAAGAAGGGTTGAATCAGCCTCCCACCTGGGGCAGCGCCAGGAGGAGTAGAGGAGGTGCCATCGGCCACTGAAGCTGTGCGGCCGCCGCATTAGGCTCCGCCCCCAGCTCCTCAGCGTCCTGACGTCATGCACACGACATTGCCCTCGTAAGCTGGCACCTGTGCCTCTTAGGTTTCTGAGGCAGTGCAGCACTTAGATAGAAGTGCTTCTGTTGAAGTGACAGCCAAGCACAGTGGTACCTTGGTTTACGAACTTAATCCGTTCCAGAAGTCCGTTCTTAAACCAAAGCATTCTTAAACCAAGGCGTGCTTTCCCATAGCAGCGGGGGACTCAATTTACAAATGGAACACACTCAACAGGAAGCGGAACATGTTCTTATTCCAAGGCAAAGTTCACAAACCAAAACACCTACTTCCGGGTTTGCAGCGTTCTTAATCCAAGTTGTTCATAAACTAATCTGCTCTTAAACCAAGGTGCCACTGTATCTGGGAAGGATATACCTGGATGAGGGCTCACTGACTTCCCTGCTGCTTCAGTTTGCAGAATGCCATCTCAAACAGTAGACTGCCCAGCCTTACGAATCCAATCACAGCCTGGGAGCTCCCTGATGATGTCAGCACCAGTGTATTGACTTAGGCTGCTTCTTGGTCCTAGTACCTAACTTATTCAGTTTTTTGACTTGCCAAATGACAGATTCACATTAAACTTTGCAAAGCTGTTTCTTTCTTTCTCTTTTCTTTTTTTTTTTTTTTATACTAGTTTTCTCATTTGGGTATATTTGAATTTTCCTGGGGAAGTGACCGAATAAAGTATTATCTCTAATAAAAAGCAATTTTTCATTTTATGTATGATACTTTTCTTGTTTGGCTTCAGAGGAAGGAGTGTATTGGTTCAGTTCCTCTCCAGTGTTATTTAAGGCATGACTGTAGAAAGTGTAGGGTTGTGTGCTTGGCTTTTCAAAACACTTCGGCACAATTTTAGTTTACGTTTTGTATCCTTCATACGATCAAGGTCAGAGCACTCTAAGCGGGAACAGTCAATTCATTTGTTGTATGCATTATATATTGATGCCAGAAAAGTATTTATAACTCTGTCTGGGCTCTTAGATATACTTTCAAGTGCTCCTTTGAAGACTGCATGGAAAAGGGAATATTCTCTTTCTGCAAATGTTTTATTTTAGAATTCTTAAGGATGAATTCAGATAGATGTACTGTATCCAGGTCCAGACATTTGAGAACATGATGCACACTTGGTGTTCCAAAAGAGTAAAATAAAATTACGAATTTTGTAAATCTCTGTGGGCTAGTGCAGACGTAACACCAGGCATCCCTTAATCAAACGGAAGGATTGCAGAATCTCCTCTCTGACCCATTCCACAAGCCTTGTTCCTTTCATACTCAGATTCATATAAAATAGTGCTGGATGTTTCATCTGTATAGGCATTAACTATGGTAACTTCAGTAATATGCATGCATATTAAACCAGGAATCCTGGTTACATCTGCATTAGATCTTCTATTGCGTCCTCCTGAGTTCAACAAGGATCTGTCAGAAACTTAACTGATCAACTACTGGTTCGAGATATAGATGACGTATTTGTGTGTTTTTCTGTAGACTGAAAGTTCATATTGTAGATCCCAGATGAAAACATAGGACATACAACTGTGGAATATAGAACCATGTGGAAAATAAAAGTATTTTTTTTCAACTGCTACACTAAATCCTTGAGTGCAGTGATTTGGAATGAGGTGCCATCAATAAATGGATGGTGCCTGACCCTGCTTTTCCTTTTTGTTAGGTGAGGCAGTAGGAGTGTTGTTGTCAGTGCCTAGATGTGGCAATGGCAGGACCAGCACACCCTGGAGGCAAGGTGAGCAAACTGCCTCAGGCAGCAGGATTCACAAGGACTGTAGTCTCTCTTTCTTCCCTCCTTGTTCAGGATGTAGATTTTGCCTCACCTCTTCTTTCCTGGCGTGGAGGGGAGGCACCATTTGAGGGTCTGCTCCAGGTGCCAGAATATTTTGAGCCAGCCCTGAGTAGTGGACTCTATGAGGGAGGGTAAACTGAAGCTCAATCCAGATGAAACTGAGGTACTAATAGGGGCTAGTTTGTCTTCCCAAGGTTTATAGTGTGGACCTGTGAATCTACTCATCTTCCAATGTGAGAGTTGCATGGCCTTGGTGACACAGATCACTTTTTGTTAAGGTTGTAGCAGGTTGTATCAGTTTAGGTTGTTTTGACAGGATTACTTGTTTCTGTAGTAATAAATTAAGTCGTATGGTTGTTTATCTCCTTTACATTTGATTTAAAATAAAGTTTACTTGTTGTGACCCTACTATATTTATTTAAAAATGTGTAATAGGCCTTTCTTTTAAGACTCCAATTATATAGCATCTTAATCACAGAGTCTATATTTTCTGCCGTGCTTTGCATAATGATGTAAACATATGTTTATCCAAACAGTTAGGAGCAGTTATAAAAAATGGTCACAAATCAAATGGGGAAAATATGGTGATTTGTTGCTTTAATGAACTTCTAATTTCAAGATGGCTGTCATGTTGCATTAGCTCTTTGGGTTTATTAAGACCATTATCCATCCCTCGTAAATTTAGAGGTTCTTTTAAAAAATCACATATAGCTTACTGCTCAAGTTACGTTGAATGACCTTTTGTCATTTATTTTTCTTCAAAGAGAATTTTTATCTTATTTTTATCTTTATCTTATTTTTAGCTGATTATATATGAGTGTGCAAGTGGAGACCTTTTTAAATGCTTTACTAAAATAAATATTTGTTCATAATATGAAATGGTACAAAGTATGTATCATGACACAGGGAATTCCTTTCCATT